GTTTTAATGATTCTGAATTTTAGCCTTGTGAATCTTCTAATGAATATTGTTTGGCTGTTACAATGATCTTATAAATCCTAAATAAGATCGTCTAAATAAAATATTCTTGCAAATCAAACTACAGTTATCAAAATTCAAGAAAATCATAAAACAAATAAATAGCAAACAAATAAATCCAATAGTGTTCTACATGTTATAATGATTCTGAACTTAAGCCTTTGTGAATCTTCTAGTTACTTAAAATGGAGTTAAGTATTTGTATTAATATCAGACAATATCTATTACCTCTTCGTGGTTGTGAATGACGACAAGTTCATTACGGTTATGTGAACCGGCGACAAGACCGGCGCTGGCTTCCATAGCGGCAGCAGCGACGTTGGCAGTGAGAGAGAACAAAAACGTTAGCTATGACATTCAGTGTAAGAGGAAGAAGGTTGGTTTTTATCAATGAAAATAATGAAACCCTTTTGTGTTTCTCTCTCTGTATGGTACGTAGTTTGTTGTAGAGTCTCCATTGCCTTCAAGCTAAGCTTTCGTTTCTATTTTATTAGTATTGATTTAATATAGTTTTCATGCAACAAACTCACTAGCATTTTTCAGCTGGTATGTCTACCTTTCATCGTTGCGGTTTTTTTAAGATTCATTCTACTGTCCTAATCTCTTTACAACTCACTTCTCATTCCTTCTGTTGACTAAATCTGTATACTGAAAATAACAGTTTTTTTTTTTAATTTAAATTAGTTATAACTTAGAAGAATGGTGAGTGGCGAGTGCAGGCTAAGTTTTTTTTTTTAATCTTGGATATCCCAGGTTAATGGAAAGACTCAGACTAATTTCTAAAGGAATGGTACAGTACACGAATAAATTCTCACTCCGGATATTTAAATAGGTCATAAGATAGAGCCATATCCACATGATAACAAAGTAAAATGTAGTGAAATTACCTTCAAAACCAGATTGTTTAGCAAATTTCAAGGTTCACCTACCAGTAGACCACCTTGCGGTTAAGTGCAAGCTAAGTTACGTTGCCCAGTCTCCTAAGTGTAGCTCACAAGTCACAAATGATATCTATCCATTGTTTAGTCCAACACAAACCTGGCCTCTTCTACTGTAAATAACAAGTAATCCAAAAGGCAATAATCAAATTTGAGCGTAGACCAAAAATATTCTATGATAAGTCAAGATCCCAAAAATGCTTTCATTACCCAAGTTCGGCCCGTAAATTTTCAAATCCAAACACAGGTTTGGGTGAAAACAAACCTTGTTGGGCTTTTTCCGAGTAACAGGTATAATTAATAGCATTAATGTTTCATGTTTTAATATGTTTACACATAAAAAAAATTACTTCCTCCGTTTCAAAATAGTCGTCATTTTAGAGAAAAATAAATATCGTTTTAAAGTTTCGAGAGAAAATTTATTAGTTTTATATGATATTCTATTTTTCTATTGGTTAAAAAGTGGTTAGGTGTATAGGTAAATGTGTTTTTATCTTGAAAATATATAAAATTAAATATTTTCTTAATCTGTGTGCAAAAATCTAAAATGACTACTAAAGTGAAACGGAGGAAGTATTAAGTTTAAGTTACCAATACACTATATTTTGTGATTAACTATTTTTTATAACTTTTAACCAATAAAATTTTTAAAAATATAATTTTTTTTTGAAGTTTACAGTTTACCATTAATAAGTGTATTGAAAATGTAAAATATATTTTTTTTAAATCATTTTTTTTCTAAAACAGGGATCTATTTGAAACAAAGAGTAGTAAATCTCTATAATATTATTTGAGAAGTCAGTTTCTTACGTGTCGCGTTCACGTTAACTCTCGCGATGGTTGATTACATAGATACCCTTAATGAATTGTTAGATTTTAAGTTTATTATTAATTTTTTTTATTTAGTTTCTTTTTGACTTTTTCCAAATAACATATATAATAAAAAGGAAATATTTCTAAAATTTTAAAACAGATTTAAAAATGAAAATATATGTATATAATATGACTTTATTAAAAAGGAAAGTTCACAAAATAGTAATATACCCCATTAATATATAGTTTTAAATAACATATAGTATATTTTCAAAATAATAAAAATATATATGTTCATGAACATCCAAAATTTATCAGTTACACTTTATTTTCTAATATATTTTTTAGAAATCAACATATAATTTGATAAATATTATGAAAATATTTGTATATTTAAGCGATAAATAAAACTAATTTGATTTAACTTAAATAAAATAAGGAATAAATAAATATTATGAAAATACATGTATATTTAAGCAATAAATATAACTAATTTGATTGGACTTAACTAAAATAAAAAAGTAATTATACTTCAATCTTAACTCAATATACTCACAACATGAATGACTCGAATAATCTAATTTATATCCAAAATTAAACATCTAACTACAATAAGAACATATAATTTTATAGTAATAATAATCTATTTAATTTTATACATATAAATTAGAGGTTGACTCAAAGCATATTAAAAAGAAAAAGAAAATATTAACCAATTACAATTTATTCTTTTGTAGAATTTGTATATATGCATGGGTCTTCAAAATATTATCATTATATTCATTTATGTAATTTTGAATCAAACACTTCAGCTTATTATTAATTTTAGTTTAAGGACAATATATATATTAAGTTATATATAATTTAACTATAATATATTTACATATCTAAGAATATATTTACATATCTAAGAAAATAACCAACCGAAATGAAAATAAGAAAATTAATCAAAGTTTTATTATATTTACAATAAAAAATATTATAGCTGAATTCGAAAAATAAATATTATCCGATAAACCAAATTGATAACCAAACCGACTATTGATCCAAAAAATAATTAAACCGACAATAATATATCAAAAGGCATATATATAATTAGAATAATATAATATTTATTAATATAAATTATACATATAAATTGATATAAAACTAAAACTAAATATCAATCAATTATTATAAAATTTTATTTTTATGAATATTTATACCCGTGCATGAGCACGGGAAAATCACCTGGTATACTTAATTTACTAATTCCATAAAAAAAGATTAGTAGTCTTTGTGATTTTGTAAAATTTATTTCAAACCTGTTTACTTCTTTTTTTACATTTAACAACTTTACTTAATCATAATTAACTGTTAGATTCTAAGGTTAAAAATATCTCTAATATTATTTGAGAAGTCACTTTCGTAGGTGTCGCGCTCACGTTAACTCTCACGTTGGTTGATTACTATGATACCCCTAATGAATTAAAAATACAATTATATAACATTTCTTTTTAAAAAAATTCCAAATAACAATATAAAATAAAAAGGAAACATTTATAAAATTTACAAAACTATTTAAAAACGAAAATAAGTATATATAATATGGTTTAATAAAAAAAGGAAAGTTCACAAAATAGTAATATTTAATTTAAATATATTTTAAATAACATAAAATATACCTTTGAAGTAATAAAATACTTTATATCTATATCTTCTTAGATAAAACAACAATATCTGTATATAATGTGATTTCATAAAAACATTTCACACAAAAAATATTGCTATTAGAAAAAGAAATACTTTAAAAAAATAATTTTAAACAATAAAATACATAAATTTTCCAAATAATTATTTTGTATATATCTATCTATTTTATTAGATGATTACATAAAATAATCAACTAACATAAACTGATATATGTTTAAATGAATTTTTTTATAATTAGTATTATTGAAATTATTTTTTTAGTATATTTATTTGACTATAATATCTTACAGTTACAGTAAAAATATAAATTCTATTTTACTTATATAGTATATATAATTTCTCAAAAACAATCACTTTTTACTGACTATTTTAAGAGATACTAAAAATAAAACTAAAAATAAATTAAATAATAAACATCTTTTGATCAAGTAACTACAATTGTTTTAAAATAGCATAACACTATATAACATAACGAGGTAGATATATTATATTTTAATAGTTAAAATTATATGTTTTAAGAATAATTAAGGATTCTGATTTACTTAAGTATTTTGATTATGGTTATATTAATTTTCACAAACATAAAAACAGAAAATAACTACAATTATTTTAAAATACCATAACACTATATAATTTAACGAGGTAGATATATTATATTTTAATAGTTAAAATTATCTGTTTTCTTAATAAATCTTTTTATTTTTAATTTTCTGTTTTTATGTTTGTGAAACTTAATATAACCATGATCAAAATACTTAAGCAAATCAGAATCCTTATTTTTAAAATTATTTAAAATAAATTTCAGTTTACCTTTCGATCAGTCTAAAGCATAAATTTATTTAGAATTTATAAAATATTTTAATTATTGTAAATATTGATATGTGTACAAAAGCTTCTAAAAATTCATTAGTTACTTATGTATGTAATTTAGAATTAGACACTTTAGTTTTTATTTTTTTTTCCTTCTAACCACAAAAAATATCTTAAGTTATATATAATCTTACTAAATATACTTATATTTCTAAAATAACAACCAGCATAAATGAAACTAAGACAATTAATCAAAATTTTAATATATTTAAAATATAAAAGATTATAGTTGAATTTAGAGAAATAGATAAAATCCAATATATCTAAATGATAACTAAATCGACCGTAAAAACAATAAAACAGACTAAATATAACATATCTAAAAGTATATATATAATTAAAGTAATAGAATATTATAATAGAAATTAGACATACAAACTATAAATTAATTTAAAAGTTAAAGTAAATATCAATCAATTATTATTGTATATTTATTTTATAAATATACATGCCCGTGCATGAGCACGGGAAAATCACATAGTATCGATTTATTTGTAAAGTTCCTTCGTTTCACACAAAAACCCCCGCACGTTTAAAATGTGACAATAAAGCCCAAATACTAGCTAGGGGTAAAATCTCAAAATTAATTAATCTCAAGGGACTATACTTTAATTGAGAGACTGAACCCTAAAAATTACCAAAAATCCCTTTTTCCACCCAAATCGAACCCCCAAATCTCTCTGAATCGCTTCTTCACTGATTCTGAGAGAGAGAGACATACCCAAAGATGGACGCCATGAGAAAGCAGCTCGACGTGCTCATGGGAGCCAATCGAAACGGCGACGTAACGGAAGTAAATCGCAAATACTACGACCGCGACGTCTGTCGTCTCTACCTCTCTGGTCTCTGCCCTCACGACCTCTTCCAATTAACGGTCAGTGTTTAATCATCTAATTAATTATCAAATCAGTATTTTGCTTATCAATTAGTATCTTTTAAAACCCTAATTGACAATAGTAGAGAGAGAGAGAGCTTTGGATATTTAAACCTGTTTTTGTTTTTTTTTTTGTTATTTATTAGAAAATGGATATGGGTGGTTGTCCAAAGGTTCACTCTTTACAGCTTAGGAAAGAGTATCCTTTTTAAAGTATGGAACTTTGAATTCTTTCATTGTTGTATTGTTGTGTTTGCTTTAACTCTTTTGTTTAGATATAAAGAAGCAAAGGCAAAAGGTGTTGATAACTACGATAGGGAGTTGGAAGATGCGATTGATAGGCTTATCGTTGAGTGTGATAGGAAGATTGGTAGGGCTCTTAAGCGTCTTCAGGAAGAAGATGCAAAAGCTGCAATTGCTATTTCAGTCACTGAAGTTACTCAGGTGATGGGTCTATTGTTTTAATTCGTTTGTTTTTTTGACTCAAGGGGCTTTTCGTCATTGTTTCATTGTTTTACTGTAGTCACCTGAAATTCAGGAACTATCAAAGCAAATCAAAGAGAAGATGAAGGAAGCAGACCTGCATGGTAATATAACAATTTTCATTTTTTTGTTCTTTTTAAGCTGATTAATTGACCACTATATGAGTGGAAGTCTATTGCTTAATGTTGTGTATATTTTTGGCCTCTTTTCTGCAAATTGATTTTCTATTCTATGGTGTGATACTCTTTTAGTTCCCAAGAGATTGTTATAAATGCTTGCTCATGTGATAGTTTGATGACTAGAAATTTATTGCAGCTCATGCAATGACCTGTTATGTTTTTCACTTTGTAGCCGCTGTAGATGTGTTGGTGTTTCGGTAGGCTTTTCTACAATAACTAGAATAGGCTATCAGCTCGGAAATGTCTCTGATGTTTGCTTCTTTCCGCAAATTAAGTAGTTAATTTGTTTTAATCAGGCTAAAGATGCATATGCACTCAATTTAAAAATTGAACCTGCCACTTCTTTTTTGAATGTACTAGGTGCTCAAGTGGTATGATATGTTTATGTTTTTCATCTGGAACATTACTGAGATGGGTCTTCGCTTTTAAAAATTGTTTTATTTGAAAGCATATTTTCTTTTATAATTTGCACAAAATGTCTTCTATGTATAGCTTCTGCTAGTGCTAATGATTGTTGTGGTAGTATAAAAGTTTGGATGCTGTTATAATCTTTAGATGCTGTCAAATCGCAGATCTTGAAGGAAAAACGGATATGAAAATTAGAGCTCTTGAGTTAGTTGAAGAGATGAGGAGTAAGAGAGCTGACTTACAGGTCTGTGACTCATTACGTTCTTTGCTATTCATTGCGTCTATTTTATTAACAGTAGAGTCCTTTTTCTTGTTTCCCTACAGGCTGTGCTGCTGTTGGAGGCCTTCAACAAAGATAGGGCAGCCTTGCCCACTCCTGCTCAGCAGCCATCTGCAGCATTACCTCCGCCCGATCCTCGTACTCAAGAGATGATCAATGAGAAATTAAAGAAAGCTGAAGAGTTTGGTAAGGGGCTAACCTCTAACTTGTATCTCTTTCGCTATATGTGATGATTTTGAAGTTCTTAAAGTGATCATAACAGTGTATTCATATTGCGGCCTCTTTGTTTTATGATCTTCTTCTTATGAATTTTACATGCCAATTCTCTCCGCCAACATGGAAGTTTCTGCTGGCTAATCTAAAATTTTACCTAGCTTAATAACTGATCATTATCGTTTACGAATATACAAAGCTGAGCTTAGGAAACATTTGTGATCTGCAATGTGGTTACAGCTAGTATGTATACCTACATAAAGAACGCCTGAGCTTTCATTATGGAAACATCGAACGTAGAGTTACAATATTTATATGTTTTTCAGGCGAACAAGGACTGGTTGACGAGGCGCAGAAAGCACTAGAAGAGGCTGAAGCTCTCAAGAAGGTTTGTATTTTTTCGTAATTAGTTTTCTGTTTGGCACTTATCTCCGAGTTACTTCACACCTTATAGAATGTGGAGATTTTGAATTCTATTGTCACAGGGATCTCTTTTTTTCTAGTTTGTGTAAATTGCTTGAAGAATTCGGCACGCTTATTATTTCTCCATATTTCATTTGCCGTGTAATAATTTACCTGCACATTTTTTCAGCTTACCCCTAGACAAGAACCTGTAGTGGATCCTACCAAGTACACTGCTGCTGATGTGCGCATTGTAAGTTGAAACTGCAGCCCCTGTTTCTTTTTGTCGGTTTGTTAGTTGTTAACCTCACACTCTGTTCCTTGGTCGTCGCAGACAGACCAGAAGCTGCGTCTATGTGACATATGCGGAGCATTCTTGAGCATCTATGACAGGTTAAGTTTGGTTACTTAAAAAGTTTTTGCTTTATGCTTCCTTAGCGTTTCAAATGAAAGCTAGAAATAGATCTTGGGTTCCAAGTGGCTCATTATTTGACTCCGGCTATTGTACCTCCTTGTCACCAGCAGGCTATTTGGGCCCAGTTTTACGAGGATTACTTTTGCAGCTAATAAATGTGCGTTCTTTCTTGATTTATTGTGCCTGTTAGAAATAAATAACTGAGCTTTAAACTATATCTATGCCATCAATCTGTGATTTGCATTTAGCAATGTCAAAGAATCTTTTGTACTGTCTTTAGTGATCGTCGGTTAGCTGATCATTTTGGAGGAAAGCTTCATTTGGGTTACATGCTGATCCGTGACAAGCTAGCAGAGCTTCAGGTAATAATAAACAATACTAATTTTCTACTTTTTAACCTTTTTGTTCTTTCTCTGTGTAAACTGTACAGTCATCTTCTCTCTGTTTTCTTCAGGAAGCAAAAAACAAAGTTCACAAAGAACGAGTCGAAGAAAGGAGGTTCACTTTCCTAAGCTTTTAGATTAATTCTTGATTTACTTCCTTTCAATCCTCTATATTTTCGCTGAAAAATAACCAATCTCAGATCAAAGGAGAGGAGCAGAGAGCGAGAATCAAGTAAAGACAGAGACAGAGGAGATAGCCGTGACCGTGGAAGAGATATTGACCGTAGGAGTAGAGATCGAGACAGGCATCATGACCACCGTGAACATGATAGAAACTATAATCAGTCACGTGGCTATGACTCAAGAAGCAGGCGTAGTTCACGTTCCCGGTCTAGGGAAAGGGATTATGATCGCCGCAGGTAACTTAAAGAAAACAGTCGCATTTTAATTCTTTTTACTGCATATTTTGGTTGTGTTTATTTAAATTTTAACTTATGTTGCAGACGCCATGACCGCTACTAAGACGCTGCCAGAGACGGCTTATAATCAAATCTGAACCTGCAAACACTTATGTTTTTTTTTCTTGTATGTGTTAAAGATTGTTAAGAGTAGTTTCTTCGGATGTTTTAAACTTTTTTTATATATGTTGTTGAGAAGAAGATTGTAGTGACGAAATATAAAGTCCAGAATTTATTTAGCTTTTCGTTCAAAGCTTCTTTCTTTAGAATACTGATTATAATGTCCAGAATCACTCCCCAAAGGATTGGCAGCAGGTTGATAGTTTGACACTACTCTTAAAACATTCTCTGTTAAAGCTGTATAGTATTCTTCCCTGTAAATCTTTTCTTTTGCATGTAAATCTTATGTTCAAAAACGTATAAAAATGAAAGCAAATAGAATTGAAGAATAAATACTGTTTGGACACGAACGATCCTTTCCTCTATTATATTAACTAATGAGCAAAAACAAAACTCTTACAAAAACATGAGATTCTCTACCAGATTAGAGGAGACAGACAGTGTATAATAACTCGTACGATCTGTTGTGTTTCCTCGCATAGAAACAGTTTCCGCACTATTTGTCTTTATATCATAATAGACAAGATCTAATACTGATGCATGCAAAGAATGTGGTGCAAATATAATCTCACCCGTGTCAGTCTCAGTTGTGTAGTACTGTCCACCCCAATGAATAGGTGGGTCGACTCTCGTTGACAAAACAACAATCTTCGTCGACCATTCCTCTTTAGCAGCATCTTCTAGAACACACAATCTAGCGACATTCGTTTCAGTCACTAAGATGGCAGCTAGCTTTCCTTCGTAGCTTATCAACTTTGTACCAATATTGCGCAGCAAAGTAATAGGTATTTTGGTAGAATAAAATTTTTCTGACCTAACATCAAAACTCATGATTATCAAATCACTCATCTTTTTGCGAGTGAAGGCTTGATAATACAAAACACCTCTTATACACACCTCTCGTCCGAAAGGAGCGTGAGGAATAATGATACTGTTTTCAATTATTCTCCAAGAATTATCTTTTCCCACTGTCAAAACCCTAATCTCCTTAACTAAATCGTGGTTACTTCCGCTCATGATGCACAACGCTTTATAATCATTGTCGATGGGATCATGGCCCAAGTAGTAGTCATTGGATCTCCTCCGTGTATCGATCTCAGGCAAGGTAATGGATCGTCTAGTGCAAGGGTTGTATATAACAAGTCTAGTGGTAGATTGTTTATAGCAAATCAAACCGTGGACAGAAGGAGAAACGGTGGAAAGTTGTGGAGGGTGGCAACTCACTTGAAAAGTGGTGAAAGAAGATGATTCATGCGTGTTTTGGGAAAGAACCAATCCGCAGTATCCATGTCGGAACAAGAAGAGGAGACCTTTCGGTCTAGACAAAGACACGTTCAGTAACAACTTCATAAAATATCGACTGCGGATGGTGGATGCCCATAGCTTAGATACGGATAGGAACCGGATTAGGGTTTTAACCGGTAATAGTTTGAGTATCTCCATCGTTAAATCAAGTGGAAGCGAGTGTGACATTACGTTTCCCTTTGGAAGTTTCATCCTAGATTGTGTTTCCATGGCGGACACGAATGAACACTTTTTCTTTTCTTTTGAGTTCTGTCTTCTAAACAAGGCTAAAACCCTAGAGCGTTGTAAACGGCCTGCCCTTTTGGAATTATAAATCAGGAAAAGCTTGACGTTTTCAGGATTTACTTGAAAAATAAGTAATTACAATTTTAAAAAACAGCCGACATACATAAGACCAAAAAAGTTAAGAGCATTATTAAGAGCATTATTAGAGCAGCTTCATTGCTGAACTCGTAGATGATTTCCAAAATTTTACCTTTTCATTATTTTAATAATTTTTTCGGCATAATTAAAAAAAAATGAAAAAGTTGATCAATTACGGACCGCCACATATCAGTGGGGCCTATGTTTGGCTTAAGAGTTGTCTCTTAAATAAGGCATTTTGTAAGCAAATCCTTAACTATACCATAGGATCCATTATTATTTTAATTGTTTTTTTTTTATGAACCTCCTTAAAAACTTTGCAATGGAGTTGGTCTTAGAACAGTATTATCGCGAGAGAATATGAGGTGCTTAGGCATTAGGGCCCCACCACAACACCAAGTTCCGATGCCTATAGATGTTAAATAAGCGTTCGGGTTTTGTTGTTGCTTCAACTATTTGTGGGTCCCACTGATACGTGGCAAGCCGCGGTTGGTTACTTTTATTTTATTTTTTAATCTGGAAAAAAAAATTAAGCACTTTTTTTTTGAGTTCCACGATAATACTGCTCTTAAGGAGCGGCTTAGTGCATTTTGTCAGTGAGTCTCACAAAAAGAGCACTAAGCACCACATACTTCTTAAAATACTTAATTAAGCATTCCAAATGGCTAGTTGCTTGCATTGTTCGCGGACTCCACTGACACGTGGCGGCTCGCGATTAGTTCGTTTAAAAAAAACAAAAGTTCAGACAAAAAAAAACTAAACACCTCACTTCAAATGGAGTGCTAAAATTGAAGATGCTCTAATAAAATGCTTATTAAATAGTATTTTAAGAAACAATTTTTTAATTTTTCAATTAAAAGTTAAGAAACAATTTCTTATATTCTCTTAAAAAACTGCCCTATAAAACCTAGGATAATCATGCTCTAACAAATCTACATCATAATATTATCTACTAAGTTTTAGAACCTGAATCTCTTAGAGCATCCACATCAATGAACCCCCTCTTGGGGTTCATTGAATCATTTTTTTATTACTAAAAATTTTCTGTTTTCTTTTTTATTTAAAAAAAAAAAAAATCTAGACCAATCCCGAGCCGCCACGTGTTGAACCTCAGGAGAGAGGGGTTCACCGAAGTGAACTTTAGGAGAGAGAGGTTCATAGATTTTTGTTATTTTATTATTATTTTTTCTTGATTTTCGTGTGAACTCCCCCATGAACCTTCAATAGGGGTGCTCTTACACCTTTGACATGATTGGCTTATTAGATAACAAGCCACTCCATCTCTACGTATAATGTATTAAAGAACTCTATTACTTTCAGGAAACTATTCAATAAAAATTAATACACATCTAACTTAAGGTACAAACATCAAAAAGCTAAGTTTCTGAGATTACGGGATTAAAAAAAAGACGATTGTTCAAAAAAAAAAAAAACTTCTAAACAAGAAAGCCAACTAGCTGAAGAACAAAGACAAACATCATGGAGGATTTAATCACTGATGATCCTTTCCTTTGTTCTATTAACTACTGATCAAAAACTAAACTCTTACAAAAACATGAGATTCTCTACCAGATTAGAGGAGACAGACTGAACACGAAACGCTACATGATAAAGCTTAAGACTCCCTGTGTTTCCTCGTGTGCCGTTTCCTCGTATATAAACTGTTTTCTCACTCCTTGTCTTCATATCATAATAGACAAGGTCAGCTCTTGATTCATGCATAATACGTGGTGCAAGTATGATCTCACCCGTGTCAGTCTCAGTGGCTAGACGCTTGTCACGATTCTTAAGCCAGTTAATAGGTGAGACTTCTATAGACAAACCAAAAGTCTTCGTCAACCATTCCTCCTTAGCAGAATCTTCTAGAACACACAATCTAACGACATTCTTTTCATAGAAGACAACAGCTAGCTTTCCCTCGTAGCTTAACAAATTTGAAGACGTATGACACAGCAAAGTACTAGGTCCTTTGATAGGATAAAGTTTTTCTGACCTAACATCAAAACTCATGATTGCCAAATCCTTCATCTTTTTGCCAGTATAAGCTTGATAATACAAAACACCACTCATACACAGCGCGTGTCCGAAAGGAGCATGAGGAATAACATTGTTTTCAATCACCTTCCAAGAGTTATCAATTCCCAATGTCAAAACACGAAACTTCTTAACTAATCGAACTTACCTCCTAACATGGCGCACAACACTTTATAATCATTCTCGATGTGATCATACCCCAAGTAGTAGCGTATGGGTCTCCTCCGTGTATTGATCTCAGGCAAGGTAATGGATCGTCTAGTGCAAGGGTTATATATTGTTGGAGTTTGACGTTAGAACTTGAAGTAGCCGTTGAGTCTTTCATGTTTGAGTCTTAAGTTTGAATTGGTTTTAGTATCTTGCTTAGTCAAATAACTGACCGAAAGTTGTGGTCAAGTATTTTAGTGGTCTAGTTGTTTAGTTGCTTAATTTTAGGATGCACCTTTGTTTCAGTTGTAAAGGCTATATCAAGCCATNAGTTTGAATTGGTTTTAGTATCTTGCTTAGTCAAATAACTGACCGAAAGTTGTGGTCAAGTATTTTAGTGGTCTAGTTGTTTAGTTGCTTAATTTTAGGATGCACCTTTGTTTCAGTTGTAAAGGCTATATCAAGCCATTTCTTTTATCAATAGAAGCGTACAATTTCAGAGTTAAGTAACAGAGCAATTGATCTTACAAAGTGGTATCAGAGCTCTGTTATTAAAAAGAAAATTGTAACTACGAAACACAAGTGAGAGATGGGAGACGACAAGATGAAACTGCCACAGTTTGATGGCCATTGGGATCATTGGAGTGAGGTTATGGAGAATTTCTTCCGAGCTAGAGGGCTATGGAGTTTGATTGAGACTGGAGTTGAAGAGCCTTCGGTTACAACGGTTCTATCAGCAGAAGAGAGTCTCCAACTGGAAGTGATGAGGACAAATGATCACAAGGTCAAGCACTACTTGTACCAGAGCATTGATCGTGTGACATTTGAGCAGATTTTGGACAGGAAGACGTCCAAAATCATATGGGATTCAATGAAGTCAAAGTTTGGTGGTAATGCTCGAGTGAAGAGATCATTGCTACAGAAACTGAGGAGAGATTTTGAGATCCTGGAGATGAAGGAACCTGAAAGTATTGAAGAATACTTCACTCGTGTGCTGGCCATCACAAACCAAATGAGGAGTAATGGAGAAACAATGACTGATTCAAAGGTTGTTGAGAAAATTCTCAGAACCCTCAGTGAGAAGTTCATGTACGTGGTGGTGTCCATAGAGGAGTCTAAGGATACTGAGAGCATCACATTGGATGAGTTGCAGAGCTCACTGGTGGTTCATGAACAGAAGTTCAAGAAAACAGAAAAAGGAGATGATCAAGTGTTAAAGGTTACACATGGGAGAGGAACATCTTCTAGGGGAAGAGGGGTCTCTGGTAGAGGAAGAGGGCGTGGACGAGGCAGAGCATTCAACAAGAGTACAGTGGAATGTTTCAAATGTCATCGTCTTGGACACTTCCAAAATGAGTGTCCAAAGTGGGATGAAGAAGCAAATTACGCAGATCTTGATGATGATGAGGAGATGCTGCTAATGGCTTATGTTGAAGACGAAGTGATTGAAGCTGATGACACAGACAAGATCATGATGACACGGTGTGAGAAACAAGAAGACATGAGGAGAAAGGCATGGTTTCTAGACTCTGGTTGCTCAAACCACATGAGTGGTGACAGAGAGTTGTTCTCAAAATTGGATGAGAAATTCAAACACTCGGTGAAGCTTGGGAACAACAAGAGAATGGAGGTCGTTGGAAAGGGGAACGTGAAACTTGTTCTAAACAGTGCATCATACACCATAAGTGAAGTGTACTATGTTCCTGAACTCAAAAACAATCTGCTGAGTATTGGACAGCTTCAGGAGAAAGGTCTAACAATTATGATACAGAGAGGAACCTGCAAAGTGTATCATGAAGAGAAGGGATTGATCGCAGAATGCAAGATGAGTGCTAACAGGATGTTTGTCTTGTTTGATCAAACAAAGGAAGTGGATAGGCGACAGAGATGTATGCAGATAACATCTGAAGAAGCACCAAAATTGTGGCATGAGCGCTATGGTCATCTCAGCCATACAGGAATGAAAACACTCCAAAGCAAGAGTATGGTACGAGGTCTTCCCAGCTTTGACATCCAGACATTCACTTGCTCAGACTGCCTCATAGGAAAACAACCAAGGAATGCTATTCCCAAACGAAGCTCATGGAGAGCAAAAGAGGTACTTGAGCTCGTATACTCTGACATATGTGGTCCCATCAGCCCTGTTTCCACCAGTGGGAAAAGATATGTTCTGTGTTTCATTGATGATCACAGTAGGAAAGCTTGGGTCTACTTTCTCAAGGAGAAATCAGAGGCGTTTAATCAATTCAAGATCTTTAAGAGCAAGGTAGAGACTGAGTCTGAGAAGAGCATCAAGTGCTTAAGAACTGATAGAGGAGGGGAATACACCTCAACCGAGTTCTCAGACTACTGCAAAGAGAAAGGTATACGGAGGCAATTAACCACTGCATACACACCTCAACAGAACGGTATTGCAGAGAGAAAGAACCGTACTGTGATGAACATGGTGAGATCAATGATGTCTGCAAGAAGGGTTCCAAAGATTTTCTGGCCAGAGGCGGTAAACTGGACATTCTATGTTTTAAATAGATGTCCAACTCATGCCGTGAAAGACAAGACACCGCAGGAAGCATGGAATGGGATCAAGCCAACAGTGGAGCACTTCAGAGTATAGGGAAGCTTAGCTCATGCTCACATCCCAGATGTAAAACGTGGTAAGCTCGATGACAAAAGCACCACTTGTTTTCTGCTTGGTTTTTCAGAAGAGTCAAAGGGTTACAGGCTCTACGATCCAAAGAAAAAGAAGATCATAATAAGCAGAGATGTTGTGTTTGAAGAAACAAAGGGATGGGATTGGGAAGGAGATAAAGATCACAAATTGAGTACTGAGCTAACGTGGAGTGATGACAATGGAGTATGGGAAGAAAGTGACGAAGAGATCAGTGATGCAGAGAACACAGGAGATACATTGAACCAACCTGAACATCAAACTGAAGCTATTGAAGAACCTCAGATGGAGCATGGTGTGGGAGTCAGGGAGAGAAGAACACGGAGACTCCCACATTATCTGAGCGATTATGTCATTGGAGCTGGAGTTGTAACTCAAGAAGATGAAGTTAACATGGTTGATGAAGTTAACATGGTTGAAATAAACTCATCAGATCCGATTACTTTTGAAGAAGCAAACAACAGCTTGAAGTGGAGAGAAGCCATGGATGAAGAGATACACTCAACAGAGAAGAACAAAACCTGGAGTCTCTGTTCTTTACCACATGGAGCTAAGTGTATTGGGGTCAAATGGATCTACAAAACCAAGCTAAACGAGCGAGGAGAGATCAACAAACACAAGGCAAGGTTAGTAGCCAAGGGCTATTCTCAGGAACTTGGGATCGATTTCATTGAGGCTTATGCACCAGTGGCAAGAATGGACACGATCAGGACAATTCTTGCAACTGCAGCTCAGAGAGACTGGGTGATTCATCAACTTGATGTGAAGTCTGCATTCCTCCATGGAGTCCTAAACGAAGATGTATACATACAACAACCAAAAGGCTATGAGGTAGAAGGAGAAGAAGGGAAGGTGTACAAGCTTCATAAGGCTTTATATGGGTTGAGACAGGCTCCAAGAGCATGGTTTAGCCGAATTGAGGAGTATTTCATCAAGGAGGGGTTTCTGAAATCACCAAATGAAGAAACTCTCTTCTTGAAGACAAACGCTCAAGGTAATATACTCATTGTCAGTATATATGTAGATGATCTCATTTACACGGGAGATTGTGAGTCTATGATGAAAGAGTTCAAGTTATCCATGCAACAAGAGTTTGACATGACTGATCTTGGGAACATGAAGTACTTTTTGGGAATCGAAGTGTCTCAAACCGCAAATGGTGTTCATGTCTCTCAAGCCAAATATGCATTGGAGGTTCTGAAGCGTTTTGAAATGGAAAACTGCAATCCGGTTTGCAATCCAATGATTCCAGGGAGCAAACTCAGCATCGATGAAGGTGGAGAATCAGTTGATGAGACTCTCTACAAGCAGATTGTGGGAAGCCTCATGTACATCACAAACACGAGACCAGACCTTCAATACGCTGTAAGTATGCTAAGTCGCTACATGTCTAAGCCTACTGTGATGCATTTACAAGCTGCCAAAAGGGTCTTAAGGTACTTGAAAGGAACTGTAGACTTTGGGATATGGTATAAGAAGGGTGGAACCGGGGAGGTTTTGGTGTTCACAGATAGTGATTTTGCTGGTGACATTGACAGTAGGAAAAGCACCTCAGGATACGTGTTTCTGTTGGATAATGCAGCTGTAGCTTGGTCCTCAAAGAAGCAACCGATAGTAACATTGTCCACCACAGAAGCAGAGTATGTTGCTGCATCAACGTGTGCATGTCAGGCAATCTGGTTCGAAAGAGTTCTTAAGGAGTTGAGATATGATACAACAGAGGGCATCATCATTCACTGCGACAACACTTCAACAATTAAGCTGTCGAAGAATCCAGTGTTTCACGGAAGGTGCAAGCACATAGGAGTGCGTTTCCACTTCCTCAGGGATTTGGTTAAAGAAGGAAGAGTGTGCCTCAAGCATTGTGGATCAAAAGAACAAGTTGCAGATATATTCACGAAGCCATTGGGAAGAGAAGTGTTCGAAACATTGAGGAGTAAACTTGGAGTGTGTTCAGCAGAGAGTAAGCTTAACTTGTCACCAAGTTTAGCTTTAGGAGGGTTTGTTGGAGTTTGACGTTAGAACTTGAAGTAGCCGTTGAGTCTTTCATGTTTGAGTCTTAAGTTTGAATTGGTTTTAGTATCTTGCTTAGTCAAATAACTGACCGAAAGTTGTGGTCAAGTATTTTAGTGGTCTAGTTGTTTAGTTGCTTAATTTTAGGATGCACCTTTGTTTCAGTTGTAAAGGCTATATCAAGCCATNAGTTTGAATTGGTTTTAGTATCTTGCTTAGTCAAATAACTGACCGAAAGTTGTGGTCAAGTATTTTAGTGGTCTAGTTGTTTAGTTGCTTAATTTTAGGATGCACCTTTGTTTCAGTTGTAAAGGCTATATCAAGCCATTTCTTTTATCAATAGAAGCGTACAATTTCAGAGTTAAGTAACAGAGCAATTGATCTTACATATATAACAAGTCTAGTGTCTTTTGCATAGCAAATCAAACCATGGACAGAAGGAGAAACGGTGGACCATTGTGGAGAGTAACAACTCACACTGAAATTGGTAAAAAGAGATGATTCATGCGTTTTTGGGGAAAGAACCAAACCGCAGTATCCAGTACTTCCGAACACGAAGAGGATACCTTTCGGTCTAGTCAAAGACACGTTCAGGAATAACTTCATAAAATAGCGACTGCGGATGGTGGCAGTCCATAGCTTAGATACGGACATGAACCGGATTAGGGTTTTAACCGGCAAGCGTTTGAGTATCTCCATTATGAGATCAAGTGGAAGCGTGTTTGACTTCACGAGCTTCATCCTTTGTGTTTCCATGGCTAAAAGAAACGAATTAAGACCATGTGCATCAAAGAATCAAGGGAGAGGATCACACGCATCCCAAAAAAAAAAAAAAAAAAATCTAACAGTATTGAACCGGATCGCGACAGCCCTTCCCCATGAACCCGGATCACAACTGTTTAGCGGGCCCCACGCCACGTGGCGGCTCGCTATTGGTCAGTTTAATTTTTTTTTTTTAAAAAAAACAAACGAAAAAAAAAAATAAATAATAATAAAAAAATCAAGTTATGAACCCCAACATGGGGTTCATTAATGCACATGAGGGTGATTGGTTGGGTTGTAAGTGCTGACTTTAGCTTTATTTTTTATCTACAGCATTTAAATCACCAATCATGCTTTATCTTATTTTGTAAAGCTACAACCATAAACTAAAAAAAATGGCTGTAAAATCCATTTTTTCTAAAGCCACATTTCTTTTACTGTAGATAATATGTTGATGTAGCAATAAATTTTAAAGCTACATCTTTTACAACTAAATCAATAAATCCTACAGACTAATTTCTACAGTAAAACTTTTACAGCTACAGTTCAACCAATCATACCCATGGTCTAACATGTTCTTTTGCGTTCTGCCTTCTTTTTTTTTTTAAATATATCCAAGCATCCAACAAGACTAAAACCCTAGAGTCTTTTAAAAACGTGTTGCCGTTTTAGAACTGTAAAAACAAGGAAAGGTTGACGTTTTCAGGGTTTACTTAGACCATGAAACCCCGAATTCTTATGATGAGATTCTTAGCGGAAGTTAAAAAACTGTTTCTTAACTTTTAACTTAAAAACGTTAAGAACTAGTTCTTAAATAAATTAAAGTTAAGAATCAGTTTCTTAACTTCCGCTATAAACCCTATCCTAAGAACCTAGGGTTAATCATGCTCTTAATATTTTATTTTATTTTTTCTGTTTAACTTTGGAGATATTCCAGGCTCATGGAGAGACCCAAACTAATCTCCAATGGAGGTGCTTAGCAAATTCCACAGCTCCCCTACCACTAGACAACCACCTTGTGCTTATATTTTTATATTTTTTAACAAGGAGAGAACCTTTATTCATGAGTTTGTGGAGATAGATGATCTCATAATTGGTTCCAAATACAACAAAAAAAACTATGGAAAAACTTTAGAAAATAACAACATGAGCAGATATTTAAAAGTCTAGACCTCCTACGGGGAGAGAGAACCAATGATCCCAGAGCTATCAACTGAGGCAAATGGAAAGAGATGCATCGATCTATTAAGCATTGGCAGCTTCAATATCAATGTGTTTCTGAAGCCAAGCTGGCCCATGCTGCGCAATGTAAGAATGGTAACGTTCAAAACCGATAAGTTTCTGAGCAATGCTTACTTCGCCGTAACATCTGGTTGGTACTTGGTACAGTGAGTGGCAGAGCCTGACCAATGACCATGCCGGGCATGTATAGCAGCTTGAATCTAGTTATTTTAGATCTTCGTCAGTGATTGAAAAGATAAAAACTATGCTTTCTCTCTCTGAAAAATAGGGGGAGATTCACGACCGAAGTATCTTTTTTGTATCTACGTACTTACATATAAGTCATTATATATACTATAATTGACAATCATGAAATTTCTGAAAAATACGATTGTCCAAATAAAAAACTTCTGAAAAAAAAAAGCCAAATAGAGCTCAAGTAGCTGAAGAAAAAGAAATATTGTTTATGAGACGAACATCATGGAGTATTTAATCACTAATGATCCTTTCCTCGGTTTATTAACCAATGAAGAAAAGAAAACTCTTACAAAAACATGAGATTCTCTACCATACCAGAGGATACAGACGTTACATAATATCTCTCTGGCAGTCCTTGTATATTAATTGTTTTCGCACTCTTTGTCTTCATGTCGTAATAGGGAAGACTACATTCTGATGCATGCAAACATTGTGGTGCAAATATAATCTCGCCTGTGTCAGTTTCAGTGGTGGGAGTTAACTTTCCATACCAATTAAAAAGTTGAACTGTTGTAGGCAAAACAAAATTCTTCACACACCATTTCTCCCTAGCAGCATCTTCTAGAGTATACAATCTAAGGACGTTTTCTTCAAAGAAGATAACTATACCTAGCTTACCCTCGTAGCTTGTCAATTTTGAAGACGTATAGCTAGGTCCTTTGATAAAATAAAGTTTTTCGGACCTAACATCAAAACACATGACTCCCCTTCTTGTGCCATACAAAGCTTGATAATACAAAACGCCACTGATACACACCTCTTGTCCGAGATACCTCCCTTGTCCGAAAGGAGCGTGAGGACCAATATTTTTTTTTTTTTTGATAAGTTGAGGACCAATATTGTTCTCAATAACCCTCCAAGAATTATCTTTTCCCACTGTCAAAACCCTAAACTTTGTAGCTAAATTGTGCGTACCTCCTATCGTGATGCACAACAGTTTGTAATCATTGTCGATGGGATCATAGCCCAAGTAGTAGTTCATGCGAATCATGCGTCTCCTCCGTGTATGGATCTCAGGCAAGGTAATGGATCGTCTAGTGCACGGGTTGTATATAACAAGTCTAGTAGTAGATTGTTTATAGCAAAACAAACCGTGGACAGAAGGAGATGTGCTGGTCCGATGTGTGTGGTTGCCAGTCACGTGGACATTGGTAAAAGAATATGATTCATGCGCGTTCTGGGAAAGAACCGATGAGATATCGTCTAAATGCGACAATCTATGTCCGAATAAGAAGTGGAGACCTTTCGGTCTAGTCAAAGACACTTTCATGAATAAATTCATAAAATCTCGACTACGGATGGTGGATGCCCATAGCTTAGATACGGAGAGGAATCTAATTAGGGTTTTAACCGGCAATCGTTTGAGTATCTCCATCATGAGATCAACCGGAAGCGAATCTGACTTCAAATTTCCCTTTGTGAGCTTCATCCTCTGTGTTTCCATGACCGAGAGAAGAAACGAATGAACACCTTTTTCCTCCTTTGCCTCTTGCCTACTTCTTCATATATAAATATACAACACAAACGTTTGAGGCGAAAACCCTAAACGTGCTGCCGTTTTTGAAATTGCAAACCGAGAAAAGCCTGACGTTTTCACGGTTAACGTTAAAAATTAATTTATGCAATTTTCTTATATTACAAGTGATTTGAAAACCAAACCGGCTAACCGTGACTGATTTTCAAACGAATACTACCTTTGTATAAAAATATTGTTAAAACTGATCAAACTCGCCAAAGTCGATGACTCGATTCAATATCAAAATTTGGTACTTTAAATTTCTGATAAAAAATAAATAGTAAATACGATATTTAGGTGTTTTGAAAACTGGATTAGATTAGCCGGTTGAACCGAGACTCGCTTCTCAAACCAATTTTTGGTTTGTATAAGAAGCTAGATTTGAACTGTTCCATCAAAACCGGTAAGTGGTAAGCTTATTAACCCTACTGCTAACGATAGGTCAATAGCTAGAGGGGGGAAAAGAAGCTGTGGAGATAAAAGAGATGTTGAGAAGAAGTCTCCCTCTTTGCAAAAAGAAGAAGAGGAGGAGAAACGTTGTTCTCCCTTTGGATCTAGTTATCGAGATTCTTAACCGATTGCCTGCAAAATCCGTAGCTAGGTTTCTTCTCGTCTCGAAATCATGGGGCAAAATCATATGCAGCAAGAGTTTCATCAGATCGTTTCCTTTTCAATCATTGACTCAGCCTTTGAGTTTACTAATAGCTTTCCAATACCAAGGTCGTCACAAGAGCAACCTACACTGCTTCTTCTTTTCTTCTTCTTCTTCATTGTCATCGTCATCAATATCAACCTCGTTTCTATCCAGAATAGGACGTCCCGCCTTAAGCCATTATCTATCCTGGTACCCTATTTATTACGTTAATGGTTTGACCAACACCGGTCGTATCATAAGTAACCCTTGCACGGGTAAGTCCATAACTTTACCTAGGCTTGTCAAAACAGGCAAGGAACAAAGGCTAACTAGGCGGTTTTTCGGATATGATCCTGTCAATGATCAGTACAAATTATTATGCATGTCACGCGGCCGGAATCTTGGAGGACAAGCAACAACGCTTCCTTGGTATAACGACTTTCATGTATTCACATTGGGAGCTAAACCATGGAGACGGATAGGTTGTGGCATTCCTCATACCCCTGAGTCTAACGGTCTGTGTATTGATGGGTTTGTGTACTACATTGCGCACACGGACAGAGGAATGAGGCTAATGAGATTCAGTTTAAACTCTGAGGTGTTTGATATCTTTGCTAGCGTATCTGAGGAACTTAGACCTTTGGTTAATCAGGACAACGGTTCTAGATTTCTAATAAACTACCACGGCAAGGTAGCCACGGCCGTTCAACCTATCAGCACTGTGGCTTTAGTTGAGTTGTTTGTTTTCGAAGAGGGGCTACATGATTTCAAAGAGATGACTATCCGTAATCTTCCCCGGCTTAATTTACGTATGAAAGGTATTATTAATCGTACCGGTGATATTATGTTTGCACTTAAGTGTGACACAGCTGATGCTTGTGCTTTCCGCTATGATCCCAAGGGAGGTAGTTTTACGAAGATGGAGATTGAAGTTGACACAAGCGATATGATGGTAGTTAGTGAGTTTAATCTTGCACCACATTATTTTGTGGGTTACGTTGAGAGTCTTAGAGCTTCTCAGCTGTCTGAGAAAAACTCAAAATATTTTAGTTAAACAGTTTATGCCTTGTGTTTTTTTTTTCTCTACTTCTAGTTTTCCTCCTCTTGACTACATGCTATCAGGGCCGGCTCAACATTTATTTGGACCCAGGCAAAAAAAATTTAAGCAAAAGACATGTGCAATACATTTCATATAGTATTCAATTAACTATATAGTTTATCATCATTGCTATATTACAGACAAGACATTACCAGTTTACGATTGATTTTGTTTCCACCAATATCGGACACAACAGATTGACCGTTAAACACACCCTCAAGCTCTTCCACAAACCTCTGCATAGCCTCCTCCGGCAAACAAACCGGTACAAGGATCCCTCTCTCACCGTTTCTGTCCTCAGCCGAAACGAAGAAGCTACACCCCGGAAAACCCACAACTCCAGCTTTACCGATACCTCCGTAGACCGGTTTACCCCAAACTCCGAGATCAATATCCGCCAAGTTTCTCACATCAGATACCAAATAGGCTCCGTCCGTCCAGAACATTGGTCTCCCTTTCATCACCATCAGATCCGCAAGCGAGCGCATGTACTCCTCAGTCACGCTCGCTTTCGCCTCCTTCACTAGTCTCAAAGCGAACTCTAACGGCTTCTCCGTTAGGTCTCTAGCGGTTGCGATTGCTACTGGAAACGCAAACGCGTTTCCGTAGTATCCAGGAGGTAGCGTTGGGTTTTTGAGCCTGTGACGTTTGTTAACGATCAACATGAACCGCATCTCCTTGTTCGGGTCGGGTCGTAGAGCAGCGGAGCGATGACGCCACAAGAACGCCGTGAGCGTTTCCAAACTTGTACTGTTGGTTGCAATATTCGGTGGGAGGAGGTTCCGTATGGCTGACATCTCGGCTCCGCCGAAGAAGAAGGATTTGCTGACCAGAGTGTCCACGTCTTCAGTGGGGGTTTCTGCCTCTTCGTCGTACTCTCGGTGTGTTTGTGTCACACGTGGTGGGACTCTGGCGCTCAGAAGGTGACGTTCCCACGTGGGAGTGATCGTTGGAGCGTGACATCCACGTGCGAACTCTCCAATCGTTTTTATGAAGAGTGAGAGACCCCCTCCGTCGGCCATTACGTGGTTGAGACGGATGGCGAAGATAAACCCTCCACATTTCAGACGCGTGACCTACACGAAATTAATATAACCGTATGTATAATATTCAGTATAACATATTTCTCCTGGAAATAAATGTGATCGGATGATATAGAGAATTTTCTTAACCATACTTTTTTCTAAAAAAATGAAAAACAACTATCATGTGAAACTGACCTGGATAAGAATCAGAGGGGTATTGAGCAACTGACTTGAACCTTCTACGTCAAAGAGAAGCTCTTCAAAGCAAGGGAAAGGAGGACGAAGAGCATCCTTATCTTCAAACTCAGCTAGTGTAACGTCAGCATCTGCCTCTATGAACAATACGCCTTCGCCAGTACAGTCCACAGCCAGTTTACGGTTCGGTCCTTCCCGGAGCCTACCAGCCAACGGGTAGTAGTAGACAAGCGTCTTGGCCAGGGCTCCCCGAATCACGCCGACAGAATCAGAGAAAAAAGTAGGGTTGTGTCTGTAGAAAAAGATAGAAGGAATGTGGAAGCGTAGTCCATCTTGGTCGTCGATGTCGGAGACGAGTTTCAGCTCTCTCGGTGTTGGCTTCGCAGGGGGTATTAACTCCGGGTCACGCCGGTTCACCTTGAACGTGAGTGAGCTGGAGATTACTGGTGAATGGATTTTGAGCTCCATGGTTTGAGACATTTTGGTGATAAAACATATCCTATTTATAGGGGAAGATGGAGAGGAAAATTTTAACTATTGACGTGGGCTTTAAAGAATTTTAACTACATATATATTAATTAACTAAAACTATAAAATTCAAGGAAACTGATCCATGTTATCAGTTGATGTCGTTATTAGTCTATGGCATTAATTTGTCTGATCGACCAAGAAGTGAGTTCACATTTTAATTGCACAGTTTGCTAGTTAATTAAGCAAACATGCTCTGCCATTTCCTTTTCTATAACTAACGAATCTAAATATGTTCAAACTAAATTTTCTAGTCGTCATCTTTGATTAACTATCATTCTTTCAGATATAATCTAAAGAAGATATTTTTCTTTTTTGAAATGAGTAAAAGATAAATATAGTTATAAATAAGAAATATTAAATGTTCCTAGTTGTTTGAGTATTTCTTTTCTTAAACTTTTATTTTTTTGTGACGGTTAGCAATGATGAGGCTACTCAAAATAAAAATGAAGGTTTTATAAGCAAGCAATTAAATATTCTTATTTTTGAGTGATTGGATTCATAACCTGTTATATTAAAATATAGTAATAATAATGAATAAGAAGACCAATGTTATGTCCAAATAGGACTTCTGTATTAATAATATACAAGCTAGATATATTTTGAATTATATAAACCATTTTTATCAACTGATTATTGTATTATATCTGAAGAAATTCGCGCCTATTTGGGATATTACAATAATTGATCAAAACTTAAGAGTATTAATCTTATACGACACTTGTAGCTTATTATGATGGCAATTAATCTTGTATCGTGACGTTCGTTCTATAGTGCGTATTCAAATTGTACTCTGATTCTTTTCCATCGCCAAATTATTGGTACCAATGGGATCCTATAATGGAACTTGAACGGAGTTAGAGCGACAAGAGAAGTTACGTTTATCTAACCTACTATGACAAATGACAAATGTTTAAGTGTCCAACCCAAAGGTCTAAGCTTGTGAGGAATTGATGAAGACCTAGATATCTTAGTGAATGAGCTTCCCCAGAAATTCCGAAGCCGGAAACAAATGTCAGAGTAAGAGATAATTCCCCAAATGTTTGATAATTTTTTTAAGAAGATTGTCTTAATTTGGAAAGATTTTCGTTAAAAAATCTCAACTTAGTTAACCCTGCTCGGTTTTATATAAGCTTTCAAGTTTAAATAACAACTTCCTATGGTGAACCAAAAAGTAAAACAGTTTCTACACAACTATTTCACAATAAACATTGCGTGTGTGTGTGTGTTTCTGTATGCTTTTTTTTTCATTAGTACAGAGTTCACATGTTTTAAAACCCATCAAGACAAAATTTAAG